GTCTTCAACAAAGGAGGCAAGAATATACAATGGAATAAAGACAGGCTCTTCAGCAAATGGCGTTGGGAATACTGGACAGCAGCATGTAAAACAATGAAGCTAGAACACTCCCTTACACCATATACAAAAATATATGCTGTTTCTTGATGTTTGCATCTTGGATAATATTATTTGACTTCCCACTATGGAAAAGAAAACTTTTTCTTTAACCCCACACATCCTCAAAAGACATCATTCTGTATTCTTTGTTGCCCAAGTGGTTTTATCAAAAGCTTTAAATCAATAATCAGCATTTACATTATTATGACTTGTGCATATTATTCATGGCTGAGCTTAGAGTATTCTGTGATTATGTTTCCTTCCTTGTGAATTTCGGGCTTACCTTAGAGGTAACAATTTTCTCCCTTTCCCTCACCTCCATCCCTGGCTTATTTGTTTGTTTGCTTGGGATTATATGTACACTTATAATTATGGTCAAATTCTCTGCAAGACATATAAATCTCTCAGTGCATTTAAAGCATCAGTCAATATTTCAGGAGGTGTGATGTGTGTGATTCCTCTCTCTCTTTTTTTGGTTTCTTGGAAACACTCTTTTGTGTCCAATTTACTGTCACAGTCTGAGCTTACTGCTCTCTTGACTTGTTGCATAGCTGTCTTGCAGGAGCCCAGGAAAATGCCCCTTCTTGTCTCCCCTGGGCTGATGCCCTGTTTCCTAGATTCCATGTCTTCCTCTTTCTTGTTTTATGGAGCACATCTTCCAATATCTTCTTGAGAAGATGCCATAGGGGCTAAATTTTTTGAGACTTACATAATAACACAAAACATCATTATTCTACCCTGACATTCGATTGAGAGTTTGGTTGGAGAGAATTTTAAGTTGAAAATCATTTTCTCTCAAAAATTTGAAGGCAGTGCTCCATTGTTTTCTGATTTCTATGATACTGTTGAAAAATCTAAAGCCATTTTTGTGATCCTGTTTATTTGACCTGTTTCTTCTCTCTGGAAGTTTTTAGGACAAACCTCAAGAGTATGAAATTTCAGAGATGAACATAAGGGTGAGTAGTTTTCATTCATTGTGCTGACAGCTCTAGAAAGGATGTTTCCAAGAAATAAAAAAGAGAGTGAAAGATGTCACACCCATATCACCTGAAGTATTGATTGATGCTTTTGAATGCATTGAGAGATTTATATGTCTTGTAGAGAATTTGACCATAATCATAAATGTAGGTAGAATACCAATCAAAGAAATAAGCTGGAGGGCAGGGAGAGGAAGACAATTATTATCTCTAAGTTAAGCAGGAAGTTTACAAGAAAAAAAATGTAACCATGGAATACTCTAAGCCAGCCATGAATCATATTCACAAGTCATAATAATGTAAATGCTGATCACTGCTTTAAAGCTTGTGTCCAGAAAATGGAAAGAACTCAGCAACTCCAAAATAAGAAAAACCCAAATTTTAAAATGGGCAAAACAGTTGAGCAGATAACTCACCAAAGGAGATATTCCACTACTAAATATTTACCAAAGAAAAATGAAAATGTGTTTACCCAAAGCTTTATCCACGAAATGTTCAGAGCAGCTTAATTCGCAATAGCCCCTAAACAATGCAAACGCCCAACATGAGAAGAATAAACGAAACTGTGATATGGTCTACAATAAAATACTACTAAGCAATCCAGAGAACAAACTACAGATATACTGAAGAATCTAAAAAATACACACACTGAGTGAAAGAAGCTAAATAGAAAAGATACACAGTTTATCACTCCCCATATATGAGGTTCTAGAAGAACGAATAGGATGCTGACATACAGAGTTGGCAGGAAAGAGATTTCAGAAGGAACCAACTGCCTAAGCAAAGGCAGAATAATGGGAAAGCCTGGGGCATCTCCTGAAAAAGGTAAAATTTTAATTTGACTGGTAAATAGAGTGCAGGTTGACACTTGACAAAAACAAAAACAAAAACACTAGGGCCCTGTCTTAACCTTGGACACAATACTGATTTGGACTTTTTTCTCTTGAACATCAAGTGCTTTCAATAATTCCTGAACTTCCTTGTTCAAATTTTGTCTTGTTGGTGGGTTGGAATTTTGAGTTGTTAAGGGATGAAGCAGGAAAGATCATGAATTTGAAGGTCTTAGAACAGGTTGCATAGTGTCCTCTCAATAAATGCTTTAAATACTTAGCATCATCTTCTTTGCTCCTTGTGTTTATTTTCTGTTGTGGTAAGCCTGAGTCCTGGACCCAAAGCTGTCCGTGTCCTAGTCCCCTGAAACCTGTGAATATATTATGTTACACAGTAAGAGGGACTTTGCAAATGTGATTAAGTTAAGGATCCTGAGATGAAGAGATTATAATGGGTTGTCTGGATGGGCCCCAATACAATCATATGTGAAGGCAATCACACAGAGAAGTGATCATACAGAGAATGCAATGTGATGTTGGGAGCAGAGAGATATTTGAAGGTGCTTTGCTGCTGGCTTTGAAGACACAGGAAGGGACCAGGAGACAGGGAATGCAGGCAGACTTTACAAGCTGGAAAAAGTAAGGAAACAGATTCTTCCCTAGAGGCTCCAGAAGGAACAAACTCTGTGGATACCTTGACTTTAGTCCAGGGAGACTATCATTGGACTTCTGATCTTCAAAAGATAATAAATTCATATTGTTTTAAGCCAATAATTTTGTAGTGGTTTGTTACAGCAGCAAAAGTGGGGGTGGGTGGGGTATAGCTCAGTGGTAGAGCGCACGACCAGCATGCATGAGGTCCTGGGTTCCATCCCCAGGGCCTCCGTCAAAAGTAATAAAATGAAAAAAATTTCAAAAGCAATAGGAAATGAGCACAAATTTCGGTATCTGGAAGTATCCCTCTTTCTGCCTCCCTTTTTCCTTCAGACTGAGGTTGGGACATCACTAGCACAGGACTGTTACTCTTGGTTAATCTGGGCCAGAGTCGGCAAGGAGTGTGCCCCAAAGAAGAAGCGAGACTGAAGAACAGGCGAGGTGAGCTCAGCCATCAGAAGAAAGACATTTTTCTGGTTCCAAACTATGACAACCCTACTGTAACAAATATTAAAAATATTAAAGTGGTTTGGAAGTGGGTAATGGGTTGAAGAGAAGCTGGAAGGATTTTGAAGAACATGATAGAAAAATCCTAGATTGCCTTTAATAAACTGTTTGTAGAAATATGGGTGCTAAAGATGCTTCTGCTGAGGTCCTGGAGGGAAGTGAAGAGCATGATAGAGAAACCTGTATGGTCTTAATAATGAAATCATAAACACTGTTTGTAGAAAAGTGGATTTTAAAAGCATTGTTAGTGAGGGTTCAGAAGGAAATGAGAAACATTTTTGGAAACTGGAGGAAAGGTGATTCTGTTATATAATGGTAGAAAGCTTAGATTGTGTCCCATAATTATATAGAAAACAGAACATACAAGCAATAAACTTGGATATTTGGTTGAGATTTCCAAGCCAACTACTGAAGATGTGACCTAAAAGTGAAACGTAATGGAGAGAACTGTTACAAAAAGGAACTGGAATTTGATGATCTGGGAAATTGTCAACCTACCCAGATTGCAGACGATGCTTAATTGAACAGATCCACTGTCAGGGAAGCATGCTCTGGAGAATAAGTCAGTGATGTGGTTACAATATTTTCTTAATTAGAAAAAATTTTAATTGTGGTAAGGTATACATAAAAGTTATTATCTTAAATATTTTTAAGTGTGGATAGACTTCTGCTAGCACTTGGGAAGTACAACAGTTTAGAGCATTCAAGTATACAGAGGGCTCTTTGAAGGGGCGTGTGACTTAGGGGTCCTGTCAGCCACCTCAGAACCAAAAACAGAGATGAGATTATTCAGCAAAGATCTGTAGAGGAGCATCTTTTCTAATGGAGTGAATCCCTGTGATCCGCAGAGTTTTGAGAATGCTATACCAACAAAGACATTGTCAAGTTGGACTAAATGTGACTGAGGACAAAAATGAAAAGGCAGTCAGACTCACAAAATTCTACAGGCAGAGAACAAGCTGATAAAAACTACTGACATGTGCTACTTTTTATGAAAAAGGATGACCCCAAGGGTGGAGCCACAGCTCCAGAGAGTGGAGTCGGTGGTCCAGAGGGCAGAGGCATGAGCCACATGAGAATTATGCAATGGAATTTGCCTAGGTAGGCTTTGAAAGTGATTGGCTGGTGACTCTTTCATTTTCTCCATTCTTGAACGGGAATGGAGCTGTTACCCTATGCCTGCCCGACCACTGTATTTTAGGAGCACAGATGTGCTTTCTAGTTTCACAGGTTCACAGAGGACTTTGCCCCAGGGTCTTTGCATCCATAGGGTAATTTAGATGATTGGATATGAGATTTGAGACCCTTGAGTTGAGGCTCAGATGAGATTTTAGACTTGAGTTAGTGCTGTAATGGCTGAGATTTTGTGGGGCCTTGGAATGGGCAAAGGTATTTCTCATGTGGGATGTATAAGAGTCTTTGAGGACTGGGGGTAGACTGTGATAGACTGAATAATGGTACCCACTAAAGATGGCCAAGTCTTAATCCCTGGAACCTGTGACTACATTGCCATACATGGTAAAAAGGATTTTACAGAAGTGACATATACTGTTAGAAAGACACAAGACCTTTGGGTCAGAGATAAAATTTATTACTCATAGCAAAAAAAAAAAAAGAAAGAAAAAGAAAAAGTCACGCAGATCAGCCTTGTGAGTTGGTCCCCCCACACCCCAATTCGCACAGACGTTACCTCTGCACGCAATGGTCATGCCCCTGGGGACTCTGTATTTATGGGGCTGCTGGTCCATCTTCTCATCCTTCCCTACAGAGAGATTACTCATTACTCCTGGAATGCAAGCAAATATCTCCAGTGAGGGAAGGAGAATGCTTTATCTTTACTTCCCTGGGATGTTTCTAAGAACAACATCTAGTTTACCATCCTGGGATGTCTCCTTATACAAACGTCCTTAACTTGGAAGCAAATACTTCCATTCAGAGGATCTAGACTGGGCAGAAATGTAAGCTATTCATGGAGAATTGTCTTCCAACACTTTAAGAATCAAAAAGTGCGCGCGTGTGTGTGTGTGTGTGTGTGTGTAATCTACTACCTTTAATAAAACAAAAAATCTGAAAAATCAAACATTACAGGGCTGACCTTGAACACTGAAAGGCTAACCTATATGATTTTAGAGAAAGACCATGCCAAAAGAAACGTTACCCAGTGGAGTCAGGAAATACATAAAGAGAGGCAGATGTTGAAATAGTTTGTGGAAGACCAATTAAGCATATAAGTTGCTTAATTTCCAGCAATAGTGTGAGGAAGCAACATCAATCAGTGCTATTCTGGGATGCTTATAGAGATTTTAAATGTAAAAAGAGAAAAGAAATTTGCCATACATTTAACAATTGTTCCTGGGAATATGACCTCATGTTACAGGTGTTAAGATATCATTGATTCATTGGTTCTTCACCAAATGTAAACTGAATATCCACTTAATATGTGTCAGGCAAGGTGGACATGATCTTTGCTTCTCTGGAGTGTTCATCCCAGGGTGGCAGACTGACAGAACTAGTAACGAAAGAAATACAAACATAATAAATTACATACTACCGAGGGGTGGATATAGCTCAGTGGTAGAGTGCGTGCTTAGCATGCACAAGGTCCTGGATTCAATCCCCAGTAACTCCACTGAAATAAATGAATAAATAAACCTAATTAATTTCCCCAAGAAATATTAAAAAAAGTAAGTTACAAATTACCAAGAAAACAAAGAAATTAAAGAATAATGAAGGATGCACCCAAACTACGGTCCTTAGGCGAGATCTCTTTAAAGAGGTAACATTTAGTTCAATCTATTCTCAAAACAGAATCAGAGTGAGTTTTTAAAAACCTAATTCACATCCTGTCTCTCCTCTGCAGGACCCTTCCATTGCTCTACATTCCACTGACAAAACCTCACAGGCCTTATAATGGTCTAGAGCCCTTCGATGTGGTCCCCAGATAGTTCCCCGACCTCCTTTCTTATTACTTTCTACAACACTTATTACCTTCTAAATATTATAAAGCTTATCTATCATGTTTATTGTCTCTCACTTTCCTTGTCAGAACATAAGCCCCCTAGAGAATGATCTGTTTCCTTCACTTTGTATCCTAAATGTCTCAGAACGGTTGCTGAGCTCTAATAGAAGTTCATTAAATTTTTGTTCAATGAACATAAAAGTACATAATGATTTTATTCATACTCAAATATAGCAAAAACAAAAACAAAAATTTATCACAACAATTAAATACTACACAGAAAATATCAGAAAATAAGAAATGCAAAAACAAAAGCCAGGTAAGATTTATTTAACGTGATGGGGGTGCTTGCCTCTTGACAAGTTCATCCCAGTCTGGAACACAGGAGGATAATGCTACTCACATGTCGGCTGTGCCATTCAATCCATTCCTTTCTTTTGTCTTTAACTGGGTTAAGACTGAAAACCCCAGTTCACACAAACTAGTTGTTGTGAATGGTAATAATAGCAAGATGCTCTTTCTACTTAGCAAAGGAAAGTCTTCCTTTATCTTAATCCAGAAAGCTGGTAAACTTAATGTCTCATAATCATTCTTCAGTGCATATGAAGGACTGAGCTGCAATAATTCATTCTCTTCTTCAGGCAACAAGTTTAACTCAATTATTGATTCTGGGTTTTAGAAAGCAAATGGATCTTTTACCCAACAGTTTTCTCTTAATGTTTCAAATTTCTCTTCTGGGAAGAAATGATTAAAAGTTTGAGACAGGGAAGGGAGATGCAACAACATCTCTAATTTTATTTCTTCCAAAATGTGTTCGTTAATAATATTCTCTTCAATGTGCTGCAAAAATCTTGGAAACTTGTAGTAGCTAGGATGATGGCTCTTAAGCCTTGCTTGCCACAACAGTAATGTCTTTCAGAATCCTTGGATACGTTTGACATGGTGGAAAATATCACTGTTTTTGCCTTGCAGTTTTAAACTTAGTTCATTCAGAATGCCAAAAATATCAGTTAAATATGCCAGTTTCATTACCCAAATATCATCTTCAAAAATAGTTGCCACATGAGATTGATTTTCAATGAGAAACACGTGGGTCTCATTCCTGAGTTCAAAAACCCTGCTTAGTATTCTCCCTTGAGATAATCAGCGAGCTTTGGCATGATACAGCAAGTGGGTATGATTAGCTCCAATCTCGAAACAAAATATTTCAAGAAGTCAGCTTTTCAGTGAACTTCCTTTAATAAAATTAACAACTTTCACTGCATTTTTCAATACTTCCATGAGATTCTGTGGAATTTCTCTGGATGCTAAAGCTTCACGATGTATAAAACAGTGATTCCACACAGCGCTATTATTAGTGACTTCTAGCAATTTCTTAATTACTCTGCTCTGTTTTCCAGTTACGTTTGCTGTTCCGTCACTTATAATTCCTTTGCAGTTTCTCCAGTTTAATTTATATTGACCAACAATGCACTTTTCTAATTCTGTAAAAATATCTAATCCACTTAGGTGTGAGGTTAAATTTAAACAACACAAAAAATCCTCCATAAAATCATCTTCCCACATGTATCTGACATAGACTAAAAGTGTCGTGCTTTCCAATATCAGTGCTTCCAATATCAGTGCTTTCATCAAGCTGGACTGCAAAATCTATACCAGACTGTAACCGAGTAATAAGCATTGTTTCCAAATGTTCTGCAATCGTACATATTTGAAGAGATACTGTGTGGTCACTAGGTATAGTTTTTAACTTATTGGCTGATTTATCATTAAAAATTGTATGCACCATATCCAGACATGCTGGAAGAATAATTTTTTCAGCAGCTGTGTGAGACATTTTCTCTTTTGCCACCCGATATGCAACTAAATATGACGATAATAAGGCTTTCTAACTGACAGCAGTGGGACAACTAAGAAATGGCGTTGACAACTTCACATCTTTTTTCTTTCTTTGAAAATATTCAAGAGACTTATCAAGAAGTTCAGCATGCTGGGTTTCTAAGTGTCTTTTTAATTTCAAAGGTTTAAGCTTTCATTTGCAAGAATGTTATTACAAATAACACACTGAGGTCTGTCATTTTCAAAAGGTTTTTCACGTTTGATAAAACCATGCTTTAAATAATCTCCATTATAACGTTTTGCACTTATTTTTTTCTTTTTGAAATGTGGCTCAAACAAAGTTGACGTTTGCAGATTAGAGTCGATATTTTTCTCAGTATGGTCACTATTCACACTTGCAGGCCCAGCAGTTGAACTTGAATATGCTTCTGTATATTTCGCTTCATTACTCCTCTTTCTTTTAAAAAAGAAATGATCCATTTTAAAAGCAATTTTGAAAAAATGTTTTAATTGCCACTAACTCAAATTTATTTATTTATTTATTTATTTATCTATAGCCTGGATAACATCTTTCTAAAAAATGCAGTTTACAACTGAATCTCAGTTGAACATCTCAGACTTTCATCCGGTTGCAAGTCATGGTGATAAAAAACTAGACTGCACATTGACCTTGTTATTATGAAAACCAAACAAGACATCAGTGGACAAATGACTGAAAAAAACATTTCTTGGGCATCATATCACCTCGACCAAATCTTTCCTCATAGTGGAACTGATCTTAGTATTCCTTGCAATGTGCACAATTCTGGCAAAGGATTCATGCAGAGAATATTCATTCTGATATTTTATATTTTATTTTGTCTCAACAAAATGTTCGTCGTGACTCACAAAATTGATCACATGACCTACTAAATGGGTCACACGCATAATGTGAAGAACACTCATACAGACATGTTTTCCTCTGTTGTGTTGGTAGCTTGACTATGTCAGTTTGATGATCAAAGAAACCAGCTGACTTGCGAAACTGTTGGCTGATACAGGAAATTTCTTGAAGTGGAAGGTATATATATCTCAGATTTTCATCCCTGATACTTTTTGATGGGGAGGATTTTTAAGAGTGCCAGTTATGGTCTGATCTAGAGAGGATCCAATGAGGTTTTCCATGGTTAGGTCAGCTATAAGGTTGGAGCTGGTGACATATTTTTTAAATTTTCTTGGAATGCATCCTTGACCTGGGAATAAGACCAGAGATATGACATTAAGCATGACAACACAGAGCAATGTTATTGCCAGCTTTAGAGGCTTTTACAATATCCAAGGTCATGGGTGCTGAAGCAAAAAGCCTGCAGCGTCCTCAACACCACGTCATATAGGCTTAGGCCTGTTTCTCTAAGCCAAACCCTGCCGGAGTCCCGTTCCAGCAGGGCCAGGAGCACCCACGGATGGACGGCGTTGGCGAAAGAGTGAGAGAGCCAGTCAAGGTTTGATCACCATGCAGGCAACTCTGCAAGGCTGTCTTTATTTGTGGTATTTATACAATTTTATCAGACAGGTGATTTCACGTTGTGGCCAAGTTGATTCTTACACCTTCATTGTTTACATTGTTGACCTATTTTCTATACCCAGATGTGGTCATGGGCCTTTTTCGACTTGGCTGAACGTCATCACCCTTATGATTTCTTAAATTATCCTCCTAGCCCTCTACCTAGTTAATCATTACCTTTCAACCTATTTTCAATTCTATTTAACTGAAGACTATTTCATAAAAACAAGCACAAAAAGAAAAGGTCACAAAGGTCCCAGCCAACTGGCGCCTGGAACCCAAACAGTGGGCTGATTATTGTTCTTATTACCTACAAGGAAAGCTATAGATATCCATCTTATGTTTTTTACAGAGCTGGCGGCACACATTGTCTTTAAGGCGTAAGGCATGACACACCATGGGGGCCCTGATCTTTTGATTTGTTCCCAAGTACTTAATGTGCCCTGCACAGTCATCATCATAGCCCCTATTATTTCCCCAGGTTGAGAATCATCCTGTACAGTTTTCAAAAAGCCCATGTATCCCAAAGATATCCCCAATCCAATTATAGGCCCTATGAACAACAGAAGGAAATGCTAGTATTTTCCAGAGTGGCGACTGCTTTGCCATCCGCACGACCATTTTGCCCCGACTTTGTCAAGGGCCATCGACATTGGTGGAATGGCTCCCAGCAAAACCCCCTCGGCCAAGATTGGTAGATAGAAAAAATGATGTCAGTCAGACCCAGAAGTCGGCTTCAGGAGTTGTAAATTACGCTGACAAAACTAAATCCAGCACACCAAGGAGAAGCACGGCTCACTCGCTGTATGTACTTCCTCAAGTTTGGCCATGCGCCTCGTGGAAGTACTTACTGCACTGCTCTCTGAACCTGTCAGCATGAAACACAGCACTTCCTTACAAACCTCTCCATCAAGTTATGCCGTTTGTGGGAGGAGACAGGTCTTACATTTACCGTAGTGTTTATTAGAAATTAAAGGTCTTAACGATGTCAATACTTTTATTAGGACTACTTGAGCTAACTGTATTTCCTTATTTTCTGTATTCTTGATGCTCTGGCATCTGAGTTCTCACTAAACAGAGAGGGACTGTTCCTTCCAAGGTTAGCTAATTCCTAAGGGCAAACCACTTGACTGATAGTAAACACAGCCCAGGAACACAGTGTTCAAACCACAGGTATTCCCCTGCCCTGGTCACCCTGGGGCCAGGCACCAGGTAACTAGGCACAGCCCCCATGCCCCGAAGCCCAGTGAAATTATTCAAAAAGCCAATCTGAAACCTGTTTGCTGGGTCTGGCCAATTCTCTCCCCAGAAAACCCAGATACAGGCTTTTCCACAGTTCCCCTTCCGCTCCCTCTCCCTCCTGCCCAATCCTGGGGCTCCCCAGCGTGCCCCCCGTCCTCCGCTGTGTGGCGTGGCAATGGCACGCTCTTCCTCCTGTATCTAGGGGTAAGTATAAAAACCACCTGCTTCATGAGAGCCATTTCTGTGTCTGTGTGTATTATCACACCTGATTAAAACAAATCCTGGGTAAACCATTTTTATTTTGTTATTGCTCTGGTTATAAAGTGGTACGGTTTGGCCCTAATCCTATTTTCCCCATAAGGTCTGTTATTTTTTAGAACAGATTTTGCCTTCCATGAGTTCTTCTAGGAAGTCAGTGTTGAAGCTGAAACACCCATATCTTGAGATTACTTTTATTACTTGCCTGGCGCATAAATTCCCCCAATCACTTGATAAGAAGATTGGAATCCCTCAGTTTTGGGGATATATTAAATATTTTTCATTCTAGCTATCACCCATCCTTCCTCCATGAGTGAACAGAGTACAGTACATAAATAAGTATCGGTTTCGATAATACTAGGCAGCACTCAAAACTGTCCTACAAATTATCTGCATGCCATCAATTTTCATCAGCCTGTCACCACTGTATTTATGTGGAGGCTAGTCTTTTAATAATAAAGACAGCCTTTGAAAGAGCCATCATAAGGCATAATGACCTTGAAACAAGAAAGATGTTGCCAGAGGGAGGAAGCCATAGCCTTGGTGAGATTGTTCCTTGAGACTTCATTAATTATATTTATATGGGCTTTACTCTTAACTGTAAACTTGAAGGAGACTTACAGTATACCATGTATAATGCATTTTTTAATTTAATAAACTTTTTAAAAGAACAACTTAGGTTCATAGCAAAATTGAACAAAAGGTAGAGGTTTCCCATATATTTCCTGCCCCCACATATGCATGGTCTTCTCTGTTATCAACACCGTCCACCAAAGTGGTACATTTATTACAACTGATAAACCTACACTGACACATCATAATCAAAATTTGTATTAGGATTCACTCTTGATGGTGTACATTCTATGGGTTTTGACAAGTGTATAATGACATGTATCCATCATCATGGTATCAGAGTATTTTCACTGCCCTAAAAATCCTTTGCTCTGCCTAGTCATCCTTGCCTTCCTCCATCCCCCCAATCTCTGGCAGCCATTGATTTTTTTTTTTAAATCAGCTCAGCTCGTTTTGCCTTTTCCAGAATGTCATACTGTTGGAATTACATAGTATACAGATTTTTCAGATAGGATTCTTTTACTTAGTAACATGCATTTAAGGTTCCTCCATGTATTTTCATGGCTTGATAGCTCATTTCTTTTTAGCACTGAAAAATATTTCATTGTCTGGCTGTAACACAGTTTATCCATTCATCTATTGAAAGACATCTTGGTTGCTTCCAAATTTTGGCAACTATGAATAAAGCTGCTATAAACATTGGTTGCACGTTTTTGTGTGGACAAAAGTTTTCAACTCCTTTAGGTAAATACTAAGGCCCCTGATTGCTATATTATATGTACATTACATTTTTACCAAGGATCTCTGCAAAGTTTGTGTATCTTTTTGTTATTAGAGCTTGCCAAAACCATGCGCACACATGCTTTCTAGACATAGCATAGATGTTGCTCGATTTTTTTTTTTTTGCAACAGTGCCAACTTTTGTTAATGTAATTCATTCACACTGACAGGCTTCAAATAATGCCAAAGGGATTGCACTTAGATTTTATAAGTTGTGACAGCCTTACTCTGGTAATGAGTTACCCTGTTGGTATCTCTGATAAGAACTGTCAGAAAACAGAACCAAGTCAGAACTGAGGGTATACACCTGAATAGTCAGGGATAAAGGTGGCTGGTGAGATGGATTATTCAATTTAGCACAATCCAGTGAGAAAGAATAATGTGGGAAACTGTCAAGATAATATTTTCCTATCTGGTTAGTTTGGCATTGACAAATGTTAAATGTTAAATTTAAGGGCAGAAACTTTACTTGAAACTCTAAAAGCTTTAAAGCGCACCCCAGAGCAATGTTGTTGGAATGCAGATACAGGGATATGCCAGCAGGTGCCATCTGAGAAAACTACCACTACAGGGAGAAGGATTAAGTTGTAGTATGCAAGACAGCAAAATACATAACCCTGTTTTTAGACTAGCAATCTCTTGGCATAGTTTTCTGTCTAGTAATATAAAGGGCTGGTCATCAGGAAGAGCTAAAAATAGGGGCAGAGGTCACGGTTTATTCATTAGGGTGGTGTCATTTTTAGGTGTTGGTTGCCTTAGGAGGGGCTTAAAAATATCAACTTATCATAAATCCTTAAATTATGATCAGTTGCTAGAGAGCGACTGTACATAGTACGTGGTTATACTTTAAAAACTGTGCATATGGGAGAGAATTCTGGGTCTGGTGCCTTTGACTTAATCTTCATTAGATGTTTCCTTAAAAGATGACATGTCCTAAGTATTTCAAGTTGGTCTGAGAAAGAGGCAATGCTTTTCTTTGGAGGTCTTCTTATGGCCTGTCTGCCAAAGTCGTTAGTAGGACTAAACTAAAGAGTTAATGGCAGATTCCTCTGGGATGTCAGAGCATAGTGGACAGTGTCAATGTATTAAACCAGAACTAACTTGCTGGAAAAGCAACCGCACATAGATCTTTTCAATGAATCAGAACAGTTGGAGGGCAATTCACAGTAGACTTGAAGCAATCTGACTCACATATAACTGCTCTTAATAAGTGAAAGAGAACATTTATTGATTCTTCCTGTCATAGTTAAGGATGCTCATTTGTTTTTAATGCTTCTCCCCCACAAGAAATCTCAAACCACTACAATTTTATCCTATATGCCGCCCCTCTCCAGATGTTTTATAGATATTCACCTGTGTAGCTAAAGAAAGGTGGCGTTAGACAAAACATGCTGCAAAGTCTTTCATTTGCCCTCTTTTCATTACCTTTGTCTCTGAAAGGTGCCTTACTGGGAAGTCACAGGAGTTTGGGAGTAGGTTCAAACCTGAGGTTTTTGGTCTAAACGTAAGTTTTGGAACTTTAAACAGAGATATTCTCAATTAAAACTCAATGTAAATCAGGGCCTATACATACATTAACATGAGTAAGTACATGTGTAATTCCATAACCCAGGTGGGTTCTGCTGGGACAGAGTCCTTCTGGCCCAAACTTCACAAATCTATAGATGTGTGCACAGCTGCTTAAGATGTATGCATTGAGGTTAACCACATTTCAGAGCAATAATGCTCTTTAATCAGCTGTGCATCTAGCTTAGCCTTTCTTTAGGAGAGAATTTCAATTAAGGTAACCAAACACTTGTAGTTAAAATTTCTTGTATACCAAGGTGCATTAATATAGTCATGTGATATGATTTCAGGTTAGTGACTTTCCATTAATGAATCTTTTTATCCACCTGTTTCTAGAATAGTGTTTGTCATACATTAATAAATGTATCTGAAAGATAAGAGAGAATGAATGACACCTGTAGTAAACTGTACCATGAACATTCTATTTTTATTAGTCAGTAAAAAATAAGTGACCAAACTATATTTGAACAATTTGGCTATATGTAAGACAAAGGTTAGTAAAACATATTCTTTAAAATTCGATCATCAGCAAAATCCTATTTCAAAATAAAATGCTTACAATGTTAAGCAGTAGAAATAATGGTCCTATAAAAACAGAAATGTAAACTATATTTAGGTTTAGCTTATAAAGACTAACACTTAAATCTACCTGAAAATAAGAAATTCACATGAAAAATGGTATTTATATTACTATAGGTATGAAATACTAAGTATTCTTTTAGGCAAAAACAATTACCTTTAAATCATTCTGTTCTTTTGTATTTTTACTATTCCCATTTCAATCCAATCTTTCTTGAGTTTATAATTGTCTATGCTTCAGACTGTTGTATTAAAAAAAGTTTTCTTAAAGGGCCTAGTCTCCCTCTCCTAAATCACACAATTAACCTACAGTAATAGTGGACACAGAGTATTAGGAAAGATCTGGTAGACGTGGGGATGAAAGCACAGGGAAGTCCTTTTCTAGCTGAAAGAGGTTGCAAGGTAGCAGCTAACTGGGAGTCTGAAGTAAAAAATGTGGCCAGCTTGACAGAAGGTGTGAAACAGTTGTCTAGAAAAGTGACAAGTACTTGTCACTTTTCTAGACATGAATGGACTGGGAAAATGTTTCAGGGTCTTGAGCAAGTCTGCATGATTGCCTTACACGCTTAATGCAATGATCATTGTTATGCTTGATAGGTGGTCTTTAATTCCCTGCCACGTTCCCTAATTTGTACTTCTTAGACATATCTCCATGGTGCTATGAGTATTACCTTCTAAAAATACAGCTCTGATCAGTTTCCTCATAACTGAGAAACCTCTAATGGCTCTGGGCTAGTGTAATCTACTCAAGATAATAGCCTTTAAATTCAAGCCTCATCCTATTTCTCTCAGTTTCTCCTTCATCCTCTATCTCCATGCAATTCTACATTTTAAGCTCTAAGACTGTGGAGGTTCTTGAAAAACCTCATGCACTTTCTGCTTTTGTTCTGACTGGTATTCTCTTTGCCTGAAATACTCTTTTTGCCTTCTTAAGTCATTTGACATTCTACTCATTCTTCATTATTTATCTCAGATGCTACAGCATTCATCCATTCAACCAACATTTGTGTATTTACAATGTGTCAGGCACTGGGGACATAAAGCAAGAAAATGGATAAACAGTGATATATATTCCTATAAGGGAATACCTGTTCAGCTGTTACAATGAATGAACTAGTTACATAACCCTGAGAAATCTTACACCAAGTTAGAGAAAGCTGCCAAAGAATATACACATCTCTGGTTGTCAGAACTATGCAAAACAGCACTACATATGTAATCAAAGGCGCTGAAAGGGGAGGGTGGTTACCTTGGGCAAGGGGGAACAGAATGGGATCGGGCGGAGAAGACAAAGGACTTCAATTATATAACTATTCCTCCTGTTAGGTGAATACACAAATGCTAGTTATATTTTTATTTCTACCTTTTGTCTGTCTAAAATATTCATTTTTTTTTAAAGGGACGGTTAAGGCTTGATTCCTTTCTGAAGGTCCTGCAAATCTGTCTCGTAACCAATAACTTAAAATTACCTTCTATCTCTCGCCCTCTCCTTTGTTTCCTTGTCATTAGTACTTAGGCCTTCAGGGTCGGAACTTGCAGGTATGAGATTTAGGTAGATTAGAATGTAACCCTCTTCCCAGGAGATTCCTGACTGTTTCCTCAAGCCCTCTAGCGACCTAAATAGGCCTAAGAACCTCAGCCTGACCCTTTCAGCTGACACAGACTATATCTCCCCTCAGATCCTGGATCACAAACCCTTCCCCGGGGAGACATCCTTTAGTTCCCTGAGCAGAACCGAAACGTGCCTCCCTCCAGCGAACCCCTGAATGCCTCCCTTTAGCGGACTTTGGTCCACTCCCACCAGAAGTTGCCTTTCTTCCTTCTCACCTCCAGCCCAGGGCCACGAACCTCGCCCCTCGCCTGCGGACCGGCGGTTCAGTTTCCCCCACCCCCCATTCCCTACACAACACCACTTCAGGCCTAACCCCGGCACCCACGGAAATCCCACGACCAGCCGGGAAAGGGCCGAATCGGCCTTCTGCGCATGCGCGAAGCCGGGAGCTGCCCCTGCCCCCGCGGCCATCTCGCGGTGTTTCCTTCTCCCGCGGGAGTTATTTGAACGCTCTGGCGGTAACGACGCCCTCCGCTGCCCGCTGACGGGAGGCTCTAGAGACACTGAGCGTGGTCGGCCCGGCCCGCCGCAGCTGAGCGCCGACAGGGTTCGTCCCGCATGTGTCCTGGCGCCATGGGGGCGGAAAAGAAGCTGCTGTCGATTAAGGAGGCCTTCCAGCTGGCGCAGCAGCCGCACCCGAACCGTGCTGAGCCGCACCTACCTCTCGGTGAGCGCGGCCCCCGGCCTCCGCCGCCGCCCCTTCCCGGCCCCGCTCGTGCACCCGGGAGCCCGCTCTAACTGTGTCACCTTTCTAAGGTTTATAGAGATTTTTGACATCTAATATCATTTTACCTTGTTTACTTATTTGGAGAACCAAATTGTATTTAATAATCGCAGTAGGCTCTTGTCTCCTTAGGTTAGCAGTTCACCCATTTTTAACAAAAATATGCATTTCATTAAATAAATTTAAGAAATATATTAAATATATGTTTTCATTTCTGCCCTGTAATGAGTTTAACAAAA